GTGCTTCTCTTACATCTTTGGGTTCAGATAGATTCAAATCATTTTCAGTTGACTTCATTAAGTAAGCCTTTGGCTTAAATATTCCCGCCTTTCCTCTAGTGACCATAGGTACTGATTTTGAACTCTTGGTCTGTCTTCTTGAATCTGATTTTCTCCTACTTGTTGAGTATTTTCACCTCTTTAGTATCCTGTAATACTTCAATTCTTGGCTCTACAAATTCTACGTCAATGCCTTCAACTCCAAATCTGCTAACCCTGCCAAGGCTGTTATCACAAGAATCATTTTCTGGTTGATTGTTACTTAAACTAGATAGCAAGTGATGCTAGCCTAGGGCTCTTTCAGTCTGAGCTGTATCAATAGGACTTGAAGTAGTGGCATAATTGTTTGGATCAGATGGAAGATGAGTATAAGGAATGATTATTTTAGGTGCTTCAGGCTGAGGTTGAGTTTTGAATAAGGACTCAAAAGGAAACTCAAGTTCATTGAAAACTACATGTCTTGAAATGTACAATCTACCTGAAGAGTTTAGACATTTATAGCCTTTGTGAGCATCACTGTATCCCAGGAAAATGCACTTTGTTGAATGATAGCTGAATTTATGTTTCTGGTATGGCCTTAGGTAGGGGTAGCAGGCACATTCGAAGGTTTTTCATGCTCTATAGTTTGGTTCATTTTTGTGTAGAGTCTGAAATGGAGATTGTTGATTGAGGGTAGGAGTTTGTAGCCTGTTTATGAGGTATACAGCAGTGTGAAAAGAATCCCACCAGTATTTTAGAGGTAATTGAGCCAGAGCTAGTAATATCAAACTCGTCTCAATTATATGTCTATGTTTTCTCTCGATTCTGCCATTCTGTGCTGAGGTATAGGGACAAGGATGTCTGAATTCTATTCCTTCTTGTGTTAAAAACTTTGTGAAGGTTCTATATTCTCCTCCCTGATCAGCTTGTAGGGCTTTTATTATGTGGTTCAGCTTGTTCTTTTAAAGGGTAGATCAAGGTAAATCTACTATAATCATCTAGGAAAGTGATATAGTATTTGAAGCCTGAAGTTGATAATACTGGTGTAGGTCCCCAAATATCAGTGTATACTAGTTCTAGAGGTGTTTTAGCATGTGATGAACATAGGGAAAATGGTAATAGATGAGACTTGCCAAGTTGGCATTCATTGCAGAAGGATTTGATGGAATTTTCTTTAATTTTCAGATTACAGACTTTAAATACTTGTGTCATCGTCTGGCTACATGGATGACCAAGTCTTT